GTTGTATTAAAAATTGTAGTTGTGTGTTTTAGAACATTTTTAAATGTTCTAAAGAGCTATGCGCTAAAATCTACTCTTACAAGCTCAGAAATTCCTTAGCTATACAAACATATGTCCAAGGAATCTTGGTTTTACGTTGCTTTTGAAAAAGCGGGAGATGTTTAAATGTTACTTAGAACTAGCAGTGAGGCAGAAACCAAAGAGTTGTAGATAGAAGAATAATTGGTGAAGTATATCTCTTCTATTATAGCTACATTGACTTATAGTTTAATATCCATAGGAGACTGGAAGTTAGGAACAAAGGCCTTATGCTACTGAATATGAAGAAGTCAATGGGATAGAAGACCTTGATCCTAAAGCAGTCTGAAGTAAAGCAATCTGAAGTAATTAGCTTGGGAAATGGGTAAATGCTATCTGATATCACTCAGTGGTGTAGATGAACTTTAAACAGTGTAGACTGTGGTGGGTTTGTTTCAAGTGCTGTATCATTTTTCTGCATCAGTGTTAGTGCCATGTTGCTCCCTCATACAGACTAATTGAGGATAATACTCTGGGTGCCAAACATACTTTTCAAGGAAGAACAACTAACCCTACTTGTAATGATGGGCGTTGTCCCTTGAAAAATTTCTTAAAAATATGTAGGTATCCGTGCATGTCTAGAAACACTAATATACTTACCACCTGGCACAAACAGAATATCTAATAGTAGATTAATATTTCTGAAGGACAGGGCAGATTTGAAGTTGCTTTGGGGGGGGGAAGATTAGAATAACAGAAATCACTAAATTGCAACACCCCTGCCCATCCCCCATGCTGAGACAGGGTTTCTTTGTGTAACAGCTCTGGCTGTTCTAGAACTCTGTAAACCAGGCTGGTCTTGAACTCACAGAGATCTCTGCCTCCTGAGTGCTGAAATTAAAGGCATGCACCACCACTGTCCCACAACTTCATTTTTGTTAAAAAATTATTTTTAATTTTTTTTTTTTTTTTTTTTTTTTTTTTTTTTTTTTTTTTTTCTCTGTGTAGCTTTGGAGCCTATCCTGGCACTTGCTCTGGAGACCAGGCTGGCCTAGAACTCACAGAGATCCTCCTGCCTCTGCCTCCTGAGTGCTGGGATTAAAAGCGTGCGCCACCAACGCCCGGCTAATGTATTTTTTAATTTTGTGTATGTGTTTTGCCTGCATATACATCTGCACCACATATGTGCTTGGTACCCAAGGAGGTGGTGAGCCTCCATATGGGTGTTGGGAATTGAACCCAGGTCCTTCACAATAACAGTAAGTACTCTTAACCATCGAGCCAACTCTCCAGTCCTGTAATCCAGATTTTAAGTAGTATAAAAGTAGAACTTCTAGAAAAGACTTTCCTGTGGTTGCATAGATTTTTGTTGTTGTTGTTGTTGTTCAGGATCTATAACTCAGGTCTCAGATTCCATCTGTCTGTCTGTCTGTCTGTCTGTCTATCTGATTTTGTCAAGTGTCAGTGTTTTGCCCACATGGATATAAGAATACCATGTATACACAGTGCCCACAGAGCTCAGAAGAGGATGTTGTAACCCCTGAAGCTGGAGTTAGACAGTTGTAAGTTAGGAGCCAATGCTGTTAACTTGGGAGCCATCTCTCCAGCCCCTCAGAATTCCTTTTCTATTAGTTACTGGCACGAAATCCTTCTATCAATTATGCTAGTTCTCATCTATGGTCACATAATACCACTAGTGTTATGGCATGATATGGAATATTATGGTTATCACAAAAAATGGCAGAGGCAAGGAATGGAAATATAGAACATGTGTTTTTGCTGGGCAGTTATGGGACATCTGACCCATACTGATTTCCATCTTTCTGTTTTAGTAGTATTGGTTTTGTTATTTTGGCATTTAAAATTGAATTGCCTTCCATTGATCCTTATTTCACATATTGCCTATTTATTTATTTTTTATTTCACATATATATCCTAGGTATGATAAAAGCTGAAAACTTTATGGATTTAACTTTGAATTATAGATTATTGAGTTAATTAAATTTGCCTTTATAAGTCAGTGATTTTCCTTTTTGGTTTTTTGAGACAGGATTTCTCTGTGGCTTTGGAGGCTGTCCTGAAACTAGGTCTTGTAGACCAGATACCTGCCTCTGCCTCCCAGTGCTGGGATCAAAGGCGTGCACCACCAACACCCGGCAAGTCAGTGGTTTTCATAAAGTAATCTTATTTTTCAAAAATTGAAATCTTTTTTAGATTTTTTTTTTTTTTTTGGTTTTTTTTTTTTTTTTTTT